TGATTATACATAAATAATTTGTGTAGTATAAGACACCAAACTTGGGGGGGAGAAATATGAATTCATTTGGGAGTTGGTGGAACAACCCCTATCTATAAGCCCCCGCTATCAGCACGAGAGGTGGAACAACTATTATCATTAATATAAAAGTTGAAGCATAAATTATCGATTTTTTCGTTGATATTTGAAGTTATTCAAGTTGGGCATTGGTGAAATGTTTTCTTAATGGTTGCTATTGTGTCATCGTATCTGTATATGCTTCGATTGAGAAAAAAATTAAAATTTTTAAAAATTTTAATGTACTCCTTATTATTATAGAAGAATATAAGTTAGTATATTGAAATACGACACTATATATTGTTTGAAGTGCAAAATACTTCCGTGATAAGATTCGTCTCTTTATCATTATGAAAGAACTCGAACTGATCGATTTGTACCTATTGTCTCACCCAAAATTTAATGGTTATAATTGGTTTTATAATTATGGGGAATCCTCTTGTATTAGAAGACGACGATTGTTTTTTTTTCGTACTTCTTCGAAATTTAAACTTCTTTGATCAAATTTATGAAATATTGCATCCTCGTTTGACTATAAGTCTGTAATGACCTCCTCATATACCACAAATTTTTATGTAGTAGAGACCTATTCAGGTTCAATATTTAAAAATTGATTGAGTATATAATCTTATAACTTAGATAAAATAATTTGTGGTGGGTTGGTTGAACTTTAAGTCACGACCGAGTTGCCCCTCAACATTGTAGGATGTACATCTTAACGTCCTTTATAACTTATTTAATGTGATTTTTTGTATTTTGACTAAGGACTAATAGGTCTATGTTAGTGGAGAAGCAAATCGCTTATACAGAATCCATAATGCAAGTACAATCATTTCCATTAAATTTTTAGGAAAAAAGAGACTCATAATTTTAGCAGTTGGAACGACCTTCAGTGCAAATAATGTAAGGTATAGGATGATCGATTAAAGGTTAACGGAATAACAGTGCACGACCGCATGACTAAAGAATCGTTCTATATTTTTTTCTCTATACATTCATCAGTTACGATGAAATAACTTAAGCACCATTTCGATGAGGTAGCCTCAAGGACAAAAAAAATTGAAAAACTTGTGCGAATATATATAGCGTTATACTATATGGATATTCTCACATCCCACTCTTACGTTGCTAACATTATAGTCGATCTAGACCCCGTTTCCTCCCATTGGATAATTTTTAATACTTGTCTTTTTATCATAGGCAGACTATACGTTCATCGCCTGATAATATCGAAAAAGACGATAGAAGCTCTTATATCCATGATTATTGGGAAAACATTAAGGGAAGGTTTGCTTTGAGAGCTTTATACTTCCATTAGGGATGTGATAGGCGAACACTTGGCAAAGATTTATAACAAACTTATCACTGAAGGATGACTTTCCATTGACATGTGTCGTGGTATTAGTTCGGTTACATTCATAAAACAAATGTGACCAAATTCGAAAAAAACTCTCAATCTTAGTTATGAACGTTTTGTATAAGATCCTTGTTGAAGTATTTGCGGGCTGTCTAAGGCAACATATGCTAGACCTAGTTCTCTATAATCAATCTGCTCTTATAAAAATAAGATTTATCTTTGATAATATTGTAATTGTTATCGAAACAACGGAAGTTGTTAAGAACAAGGATTTTAATATTGCAGTTTTGTTGAAAAAAAAAAAAGACTATGTCAATTGCTCATATGCTATGACTACACTGCGATGAATGAAATTTAGCCTCAAAATTTTGTTAATAGGTAATTTCTCTCTACACTCTATCTATCGCAGCAATACTACCTAATGACAAATTACCTGAATAATTTTTGCTAATCAGGTCTCTTCGACAAGGATGTCACCTTGCCCCGTTATTGTTTACAATTTAAATGGAAGGGACTCTTTATAACATCTATGCTCACTCCTATATGGTGGCCTTAGCCACATGCGCCTCCCATAGAAAGTTAAAGCTATAGTCGATGACTTATTTACTATCGTTTCAAAATTCAGTCTCCTCGTAGGATATTTTGAAAGCATGTCTGGATGAATACGCCAATCTGTTTGAAGTGCCATCAATTGCCATAAGTGTGTCTTTTTTCTCCAAATCACTTTTGACTTTTCACTATGCATGGAACGAGGTTAAGGAAAATGTGTCAAAGTGTCTTTTAGGGGTGCAAATAAGTCGTAGCAAATGCTCTGATGCTCAAGAGAGCATTTTATTGCATAAAGTGATTCAAAGATGTACCTCGTGGGACAAAGCCCCCACCTCTCTATCTATGGTCGTGTTGTGGTCATTAATGCTATGTTTTTGCACTGCTTTGGTTTGCGGGAAGAGTTTGAGCCCTTGGCTCTCAACTGTACACTGGATTCGGAGAAGAGCGGTGAAATTCATATCATGATGGAAGTCGTTCGCAGAAGAGGGTGAGGCTTTTATTTATAAGATAGCATAAGATACATTGCGTCTCCTATGTGGTGAAGGGGGTTTAAGAACTTGAATATGAGATATGCTCAGACAAAATGCAGCGATGTCGTATACATGGCTGGTGAAAGCCAGCCTGACTCCCCACCCCACTGGTCCATCTCGCCGAACGTATCTTGAGTCGAGAATTGAATGCACCAAAGGATGTATGGACGTGTTTACAACTCGTCTATTATCAGCCACGACATGTGAAGTTCCCGTTTTGACCCTTTACCCTAACATTTGGGTTGAACCCCGGACTAAGGCGCACTCGAGTTTCAAGTGAAGTGGTGTGGAACGAGGCCCCATTTCTCAATTCTCAATGTCTGTCATCCTTGTGCTGGGGGCCGTGCCCGGTAGGGGGGGGGGTTAGCTTACGTTTCGAGTATGTTTCAACGTGGCCACAATGCTGCCGTGAGATTTCCAGATCGGACGGCAGGAACCCGTGCGTACTCGAAACACAAACTGAGGCCCCGCTACCAAGTGGCGCAAGGCGCAGCACTGTGTTTACCGAATTTCCACATCGTTGGACTGCACCCTTCTTCGCGGAACTTCTTGGGCACCCTAATAATTGCAAGATGAGCAGGGCGGGTCGAGGCGGGCGGAATCGGTAGGGTGGATAGGGACTGTCGGGCGGTTCAAGTGGAAGGGCGGGAAAGGAGCGCGGGAGATCGACGCGGGAACGTCCGTGGACGGAGAGGCGGGAGAATTTTCGTTGGCGAAGCGGGGAAGCAAGAAGGAGCAAGCCTTCCATCACAAATTCACAAATAAAACATGGAAAAAAAATTAAATTAGGCAAGCCACGAAGTCACCACTTGCTGGCCTACGTGTCACCATTCTATTGAATTTCACCTTGGCGCGATCTGATCACGAGTGTTTGGGGCTGGGTTTCCTTCTTCCCCGCCAATTGGGAGTGTGCCTTTCATTTGATTTGATAGGGCGTGTTCCCTGTGGCGGGTGCAGCATACGCACAGTTGAAATTTTGTCGACTGAATGGGACCGTAACTATGGCCAGATACTTTCAGTCAGGAAAGTTACAGGTGTGAGTATGCCCTAAGGGTCCTCTCTTTTCTCTCTTCACGCCCCAAGGAACAGTTGCCTGCGGAGGGCGGGAGAAACGAAAACACTCTAGTCCTGCTTTCCCGCTCTTGTCCTCGAATGCTTTCGCCAAGTTTCTATGTAGGGCATACTCACATCTAGGCTTTCTTGATAGAACCTGGCCGTGTTTGCCGTCAGATGCACTCGTAAACGTGCTGCCGTGAGTACCCCCCTTGTGCGGCTTCTCAGTTCTTTTTTGGGACGTTAGATTAGCCAGATCGACGCTCCAGAACGGAGTATTCAGGTCAGGTACGTGGAATCTGCCTCGTTTATGATTCCAAACGGGCGGACGGCAGGCAGGCACCGTCTTGGCGGGAATGTGATAGTGTAGAGCCTGTCTCTTATACACATCTAGATGTGTATAAGAGACAGAGATTAGCCAGATCGACGCTCCAGAACGGAGTATTCAGGTCAGGTACGTGGAATCTGCCTCGTTTATGATTCCAAACGGGCGGACGGCAGGCAGGCACCGTCTTGGCGGGAATGTGATAGTGTAGAGCAGCAAGTATGGAAGCATGAATGAATGCCTCTCTCTGTTTGATTGGTGGGAATGTCTCTATGTCTCTGGTCCACAAAGTCCCCATGCGTGTCGAAGAAGGTTGAGTAGTAAATGCCTCTCTGTTGGCGGGGGCGGGGTGTTGAAGCGATTTTTTTTTGGAAGTTTTCAAGGTGATTTTTTATTTTTCTTCCAGGTGATTTTTCCTTGGTTTGGCAGGAGTCATGGCGTTTTGTTAATGTTTTAAAAAGTAATAAATAAAAATAAAAAAACGCCGATTTGAATTTGAAAAACAAAATTTCCATCGAAAAATTCTGCATACCGCAGGGTGAAAAACGCGGGGAAAAGAGGGGGAAAGAATCGAATCGAATCTTTATTTTGGGGGTATATTTTTGGTTCTTATGGGTATTTTCTTCGCTGCAATTGCAACGTGGAACGATAGAGAGAGGGGGCGAATGAAATAGAGGAAGGAAGAAAGGATCGAGGAGCATGTGATGATGCCACGTGGCATATGGTAATTGGGCAAAGAACTTTAATGGGAGATTGTGGAGGGAGAGGAGTACTGCCTTTGTATGAGTGCGCTGCTCACGACTAGATAGTTGTAGTTGTGTCATGCCGCATTGTTTTGGAGATATGGATTTCATGCCAGTCGATTGTCATCACGTGGATCTGCCATCGAATGCCACGTGGCATGGTGCTGTCCAACGATCATCGTGTCGTCTGAAACGACTCTCTGATTAGCAGTGCACAGCTCCGTCGAGAAGCAATTGCAGGACAAATTGATGACTCATTACTATTCGTCTCCCCTTCTTTTTTTTGATTACTTCATATCGGATTCGTTTCGTGGTTGTGTGGTTAATAGATTACTTACTTTGAGTGGTAGTTAATCCGTTTGATTAATCACCAAGATTGATCGATTCCTTATTTCTTCTTCTTCTGATTGTTTGCTTGCTTGATTGATTGGTTGCTTGAGTGCTTGCTTGCTTGCTTGATTGATTGGTTGCTTGAGTGCTTGCTTGCGTGATTGATTGATTGATTGATTGATTGACTGGCTTATTATTGATTGAATGGTTGAAGTAGTTGGAAGGTAGAGGAGCATGTGTATGAGTGATAGATGATAGAGGATCGACGATGGAACAGATTTGGTCGAGGATATCAGTGGTACAACCAGGTCTGCCGCTTCCATTACTAATGGCAGTGACGGAAGAGGTAGTGAGACAGAGCGCGAGGGAGATGCAGCAAAGCTTGAACGGACAACAGCTATGGAAGGAAGGTGTGGGGATGGCGGTCAAAGCGCCGGATTCCGTGTTCCACAGGTCTATTCCGCTGTGCCTGGAACGATTGAAGACAAAATATCTGGAAGGGGAAGATCTTGTCCCCTATCTACCTCATGGGTTGAGAAATGCGGAGATCGGAAAGGGAAGGGGTATAGGACTAGTGCCAGGTGCATTTCTAGGTACAAATTCTGGACCAGGAGGACCAGGAGGGGAGGGGAGTCGACGGCCAGGGGGAGAAGGAGTGGGGGGGATTGCAGATGATGTGGCGGCGTTGTCTTATTTTCTCTGTTTGCGCTTGTCTACTTTGAGCGAGGGTAAAGCTAGTGGAGATGGAGGAGGAGGAGGAGGGAGAATGGGGGGATGGGCTGTAGGAAACCCTTCTTCTTCGTTGGTGTCATCCTCTTCTTCTTCTTCTTCTTCTTCTTCTTCTTCTTCTTCTTCTGTTTGCCGAGTGTCGCAGAACGATGGCTTTATGGATATGGCGTCAGGGTTATCAGGAGCAGGAAGAGGAGGAGGAGGAGGGGGTGAAGAAGTGGCAGAGACAATGCCCCTTGTAAGCTGGGCTTCGCCCATCAACGAATCGAAAATTATTGCTCGTGTCCTATCCAGCGCCCGAGGTGGGAGAGGGGTTGGAAGAGGAGGTGTAGGTGGAGGGGGAGGAGGAGGAGGAGGAGGAGGAGGAGGAGTGGGAGGGGGAGGATTAGGAGGAATAGGAGGAGTAGGAGGTGTAGGTGGGTTCATTTCTTGCGGTTCTTTCCCATGCTTTGTCCCTGCCGTTGATGCGAAACCCATGCCTGATTGGATCACAAGACTTTGCCAAGGGAATGCTCAAGAGGAGAGATTGTCAAAAGCAATCCGGAGCGGGCCGAGCAAACTTATGTCGGAGAAAGAAGGAGTGAAAATTCTGGGGAAATTGGATTTCGGAATCAAGAGAGCAGCAGGAAAGCAGAGCAAATCGGCACAGGGTGAGGATCTTTCTCCCTCTCCCTGACTCCTCCCCCCTCCCCCCCCATTTCCCTCTCTCTCTCTCTTTCTTCTCTCCCTCTCGTTCTGTTTTTTCTCTCTCTGTCTCCCCCTTTCTCTCTCTTTCCCTCTGTCTCTCTCGTTTTCTTCCTCTCTCTTCCAACTTTTTTCTCATCTTACATTTCACCTTTCGTCTCTCTTCCCACTCTCCCTTCCCCTCTCTTCCTTTTTTGGATATCAAGGGAAAAAAATAAAAAATATATGAAATTATCCTTTCTCGATCCTTCTTCAGGTAGTAGAAGTTGTCCGACTTTTTTATTTTTATTTTTATTTTTATTTTTTTTTATTAGTAATAGATCGACTACTTTCAGCGGATCGAATCTGGGTTAGTGTTGCCCTCCCTCTTTCTCTCTTCTTCGTGTTTCTTCTCCCTTCCTGCGTCCACTCGCTCGTTTCTGGCTTCTCGTTTCCTCTCTTCAGTTCTCTTTTTCTCTCTATCCTTCGTGTTGTCTTCTTTCGTTGGTGCTTTTCCTCCCCCCACTTCTCCGGATTTTTCTTCCTCTTCTTCCCCTCTCTGTCTGTGTCTTCGTGCCTGTTTTTCTGTGTGCCTGTCTGTGTTTGTGTGTATGTCTGTCTGTCTGTTGTCCTCCCTGTTTGCTTTTGAGAGCAGCTTCCACCCAGGATCTTACCGACAGAGGTCGATGGGTGTGTTTCTGTGTACCGTTTTGTCTTGTCTTGTCTTCTTTCTCTCCTTCATCTTTCTTCTTCATTCCCCTCACTTCTCAGGATTTCTCTTCTTTCTCCTACCTCTGTCTGTCTATGATCGTGCCTGTGTTTCTGTGTCTGTCTGTCTGTCTGTCTGTGTCTCTGTTTGTGTGGCTTTCTCTGTGTGTGTGTGTATGTGTGTGTGTGTGTGTGTGTGTGTGTGTGTCTCTCTTGCCCTCCTTGTGATCTGCTGAGAGCAGCTTCCAGTCGGAATCTTACTTACAGGTAGATGGGTATGCTGCTGTGATTTCTTAAGGTGTGTGAGCTGACCTATTTCTCTCTTTCTCTCTCTCTCTCTCTCTCTCTCTCTCTCTCTCTCTCTCTCTCTCTCTCCGTCTCTTGTATCCGATTCGTTCTGTTCTCCCTTCACAGGTAGCGGTTTCTGGTCTTTATCTTTCTGGGCTCCCACTGTTGCCTGCCTCAAACTCTCTCTCTCTCTCTCTCTCTCGCTCTCCCACTGTTGCCTTCCCGTGCTCTCTCTTTCTCGCCCTTGGATAGTCAGCCACTTCCCATGAAGGTAGTGTATGACAGCCGCGAACCTCTTGGCCAATCGCCCCTGGCTCACAATCTCCATCTCTTCCTCCCTCTTGTCTGTACTAGACCCGTGTTCGGCGATGACTCGTTCGTCCGTTTCTTTTTTTGTTCTTGTGTCTGTTCGCTCTTCCTTTTTTCGATATCAAGGGGGGAAAAAAAGAAATTATCCTTTCTCGATCCTTCTTCAGGTAAGTTGCCATTCTATGTCCAAATCTCTTTATCTTGTTGTTCTTTAGCCTCCCTTTTTCTTCCTTCTTTCCTTCTTTCTTTTTGTCTTCATCTTCGTTATCCTCTCTCCTCCCTCTTCTCTCTCTCCCTCTCCCTCTTTTTTTTTTTTTTTTTTTTTCCCTCCTCTCTTTTCGTGTACCAGTGTGTTGCTGTTGCGCACTCTGTTGGTATTGAACTCCGCTATCGTTTTCTTCCCCTCCTCCCCCCCCCCCCCCCCCCCCCGTAAATAGAAGAAAAACAAATCCTGACAGTGCTGACACCAACACAACTGATCGGTGACAATCTTGGTGTCGGGATCCGGCCAAGAGTCCCGATCCTTTCACTTTCCTCTCTCGCATGCGCGCGCGAGAGGGCAATAACACCTTAAAATGAATTCGAAAGAAGGAAAAAAAAAAAAGGAATAATAACAAATGATATTTGTTAACAATTGGTGGGCTTTAGGAGCCTTGGCTGAGGGCAGCGGTCAAATAGGAAATTAAAATAATCAAATAGGAAATTAAAATAGTCAAATAGGAATTAAAATAATCGAATAGGAAATTGAAATAATTCATGAGCACACTTAATGCCGAGGGATTAGGAGCGCTGGACCAACAACTAAATCCGAAAATGAACTCAAAAAAAGGAAATAAAAAAGAATAATAACAAATGATATTTGTTAACAATTGGTGGGCTGCTCTGATCCCACATGGAATTTTTCTGGTGGTGTTCTTTTCTTTTTTCTTTTTTTTATTTTCCCCCTGGGACTATTGTCTTCCACTGGATTCGTATGTTATGTTATATTTGATGTCCCATTCTAGGTCGGGGTCCCGTCTACACTTTTCCTGGAAAGATTCTTTTCTTGATAGAGTAAAGAGTACAAAAAAGAAGGAAAAAAAAAAAAAAGGGAATGATAACAGCAGCTCTTCCTGTCAGACCAACTGGGCCTAGCTTTCCTGGAAAGATTCTTTATCGCGTCCGTTTTTTTGTTTTTTAAAGGTCTCGTCCGTTTTAATTGTTTTTCTTTTTCTTTTTTAATTGTTTGCCTGATGGTCTTGAAATTATGAACGTTATGACTGAGGCTCTGAGGGTACTTATTGGCGTCGGTGTTTTGGGTGTTTTGGCAATTGCTCTCGTTCACTTTCTCGTCTCTCTCTCTCTCTCTCTCCTTTCTCTCTTTCTTCTCTCTCTTTTCTCTCTCTCGTCTCTCCTTTCTCTCCCTCTTTTTTCTCCCTCTTTTCCCTCCCTTTGAGCTTGTCCGCAGAAATGTGTCTTTTTTTTCTTTTTTGGGGTAATTTGCTAGGCTACCAGCCGGGCCGCCCGGGTCACCCTATTTTCCCGGACGGCCCGGCCGTGCAAGACCCAGGGAAGGTCCTAGCCAAAAAAAAAAAAAAATCAAAAAATCCGAAAAAACAACTATGCTATGCAGAAAAATAAACTGAACAACTTTTGCCTCAGGGTCACATCCAAATTCTTTACCTTTTTTTTTTTTTTTTTTTTTTTTTGGCCCGGCCGGGCAACGTCCCCCGGGCCACTCCGTAGCCTAGGTAATTTGTATATTTTATCGTCTCTTGATCAGCGTTGGCAGAAATTTCTTCCTGTTCCTTCGGGACATCCGTTAAAATTGGAACGATACAGAGAGAGAGAAGATTAGCATAGCCCCTGCGCAACGATGACATGCATAAATCGAGAAAGGGTAAAAAAATAAAAAAATAAAAATCTTCCTGGCTCCTAAAAATAGCCAACGTACTTAGAGAGAAGGTTAAGGAAGGCACTGCTGAGAAAAGTGGACGCGAGCGAGAGAGCGTTACTGAAACACGGAGGCATGCCTTGTGAATATTCAGGTTTTCTTTCTTCGAATATTCACAAACCTGAATATTCATTTTCGAAAAAAGATAAAGAAATGATGAGATTGGTAAAAAAGCCTAGGCTACCAGAGTGGCTCGGGTCCACTTGCTCGGCCGGGCCAAAAAGAAAAAAATAAAAATAAAAATAAAAATTTTATTTTTAATTAAAATTTTTATTTTAAATTTGGTAAAGAATTTCAATGTGACCCTGAGGCAAAAGTTGTTCAGTTTATTTTTCTGCATAACATACTTTGTTTTCGGATTTTTTGGATTTTTTTTTTGTTTGTTTTTTTGGCTGGGACCTTCCCTGGTCCTTGCACGGCCGGGCCGCCCGGTTGGTAGCCTAGAAAAAAGCAGCCTTAAAAAAAAATGAAAATGCAGCCTCCGTCCTGACGAGTCGGTGAAAATCCGACGAAATGGTCTTTACAGCCCCGCGTTTCTTGTCCTCGTCTCCCTTTCTGTCTGCTGCAGTTCACGCAGGGCGAGGTCCCACTAGCAAAGAAGAGGATTGGATTGAACGCCCACATCTGGACGTGTTTGTGGACAGGTGCAGAAAATCGCGATTGATCTACTTTTCTGGATCTCTGCATAAAACCTCATCCAGATTCAGGCACTTAATCCAATCCTTTATTTGCTGGTGGGACCT